TGAAGAAGCTTCTTGGATGAGAAGGAAAACATTTACCAAAGAAGAAGAAAAAAAGTCTAGTTGCCTTTTGAAAAAAGCACTTTTAGGATAGTGTTGCATATAATAAAGTTGCAAGTTTGAAAAATCTCTATTTGAGTCAGGAAAAAAAAAGCAAAACACCATGTAATATTGTGCTCTAAAGTATCCCAGGATGTCATTTAAGTGGTCTCAAGTTTTTTATTCACATTCTTAATTTTTAAACAGTTTACCAGGACGCCTTATGGCAGGATCAGGATCTAGTGTCTTCTTTAAGTACTCTGTTAAAGTCTGCAAATTGGCATCACTCAGCTCCATAACCAAACCTAAAAATTAACAAAATAGTATTCCGTAACTGTTAATGCTGTATATTAAGAAAAATAAGGACCAACCTTATCCTCAACAAAACAAATACTACAATATGCATTGTTTAAAAAATATCTTTTGGGCAACAGAGCACACACTGATAGAAAATCAAATCAGTCTTCTTTTTGCTCTCAATTAGGATATTTAAACTGACAAATGTCCTGTCAGTAAAGACACACATATAAACACAATTCATTGTATGGTCTCCTAGCCAAAAGTAAACACAACCTAGAATTGTGAATAAAAACATACACAAAAATAGTACAATAGATATAACATGTAAATTATAATTTTCATGGTCTGATATCATGTGGACTAAAATTTCAGTAATATCCAATATTATATGATCAGACTTCGGGTTTCTGATACTCTCATTATGCCACTGTTTTTATTAATTGTACCTCATATCAGCTTTTGAAAATGCCCCCAATTCTCTGGAAGAAATATGAAAAGTATATGTTGCGGTGGGATTAAAGGTACATAAGCAAAACCTTGCTGAACCTAGTTATTAATCTGTTAACCTATTATTATATCCTACAATATACAGTAGTGGCCAAAATTGTGGAAACATTTTGGGAAAAGTGTATTATTGAGGTTTGATGGCTAATAAACACCACTTTTGTTGGAGTAGTACCATAAAATTATATATCAATGAAAAGATAATTTAATCAAGAATGTAATGCAATAACGTTTGTTCAATTATCTGCATTCTATGAAAAGTTATAACCAAATAAGCAGAAAAAGAAAGCACACCTTGCTTAGGTTGATATCAGGTAGCTTTCCTTCATCTGATTGTAGCCAATGAGTGCTTAGGGAGCCAATCAGGTGTCATCTTGTTTTAGCAATGAGCCAATCAGATCACAGTAAGATTCAGTTATTGATGTCATGTATTGAAGCTGAGAGGACATTTGTCAGTATGTTATGTGATCGCTTTCAAGTTGGTTGGGTTTTTTTGTGTTCTTTCATTTAGTAAGCTTGTAAAATATAATAAAATTAAAATAATGGTACAAAGGGTTGACTGGTTGCCCAGAAAGCGATGTAAAACAGTATTATTGAGTGAACAAGGCTACAGTTATAAAGAAATTAGAAGAAAAATAGTGGAAACTTAATCAAAGGGGCATTTCTAAGTTTTTGAAATGGTATAAGTAGACTCAGTCACTACAAAACCATACTGGTAAAGGAATGAAAAGGTGCACAACAGCAAGTGATGATAGAAGAATTAAGAGACTGTGGCTACGTGACAGAATAAATCATCTGGGTGTATACAAGATGAAATGGCGCAATGCAATGTGAAGTTGAGTGCAAGGACTGTTCGGCACAGACTGCAGGAATTTGTCCTAAAATCTAGAATTCCACGAAAAAAGCCACTTTTATCTCTCAAACAAAGGTTGAAAACACTAAACTGGGCTAAAACCCATGTTACCTGGACAGAGGAACAATGGGACAGTGCTATTTGGAGTAATGAGACCAAGATCTCTCTGTTTGGTAGTAATGACATAAAATATATAAGAAGAAAGAGAGAAAATTTGCATCCTGATTGCATTACATGTACCATGAAACAGTCAGTCAGTGTTATGATCTGGGGTTGTATGACATCAAGAGGTATGGGCAGAATTTGTGTGATTAATGGGAATATAAATGGTCAAAAATACATTAATGAAATATTTGAGCCCAAACTGAAGCCTTCCGCACATGATCTTTTCCAAGACAATGAAGCATTTATATGTCAACAGGATTCAGATCCATGTCATGTTGCTGCTGTGTGCAAAAAGTGGTTTCAAGATAATCATATTCCACTGCTAGAATGGCCTGGGAATAGCCCAGACCTTAACCCAGTTGAAAATCTATGGAGCCGACTAAAGAAACTTGTTAGTCAGAAGCGACCCAGCAATAAAATCCAATTAATAGAAGCAATCATTCAATCTTGGTTTCACATTATAACAGCTGCAGAACTAAAGGACTTGGTTCACTCCCCAGGAAGGCCGTAATTCATGCTTAAGGTTACCCAACTAAGTATTAACTGATATGGTGATAATTTTTGTATATCTCACTTTTTCTATAGTGATAATTTTTGTATATCTTGTTTTTTCTACATATTTCACTTTTCTTCTTTATAATTGCTATCCTAATAGCAAATCCTTCATAAAAGTTATTGTATTACATTCTTGATTAAATTATCTTTCCATTGATATATACTTTTATGGTACTACTCCCCCCAAAAAAAGTGGTGTTATTAGCCATCAAACCTCAAATGTACACTTTTCCCAGAAGGTTTCCACAATTTGGGCCACTACTGTAAGTGTACCTGAAGCCCCTGCTGTTCCTATTTCCTGACCTTGCTTATCTTGAAGGGCTGAGATTCATCATGAAAAATGACTGTACAACTCCATACTATGTAATATCAAATAGTACATCATGACCTTATTGAAATTGTTTCATTTTAAACACACACATTGGTTGTTTTCAGTTCAAACTGTTTCAGTTTTTCATGGTATGGAAAACTGTATTGAATCACACTTAAGCTGTATTTTTCAAACCAAGTTCCAGTTCCATATCTATTTATTCTTTATTGCATCAAGTTATCTATTTCTGACTAGAACTAAAGGTTGGAAGGGAGCATTTGGGCTATCTTCCCCAGACCTCCTTCCCAGACCTCCAGCCTGGGAAATCAAGCTAAAGACAAAGATGAATGTCTCTCTAGAATCTGCTTGAACATGGGGGAAAAAAATCTACCATCTTTCCAGTTAATTGTTCTGTGAGGAAGCTGGAGATTCTGTCTTTTTGTAATTTAGATCTATTATTTAGGTCTGCAATGATACAAAACAGGACTTGACCCTTGATGTGGCATCTTTTCACATATCTGAAGAGTGCTATCACATCTTTACAGGTGTCTTTTTTCAAACTAAAGATACTTAGTTCCTTCTGAATATTTTTAACCCTCTAATGATATGTTCATCTTCTTGTAACCTGTTTTCAGTTTCTTTGTTGATGGAACTGTTTATAGGACTTTAAGTGAGGTTTGGGGAAGCAGGACAGCCATTCCACTTAATATCTCTCCCCAATTTGATCATGGAACATTAATAAGAACCTTGGCATAATTTCATGCTATCTACTTACTTGTCATGTCACCCAAATTATACTTAACTCATTGCTAATTAAACTTGTCATGTAATACTGCAAGGAAATGCTGTTGACATATCTTAACTTCCACAAAATATTAATCATCTCAGAAAGATATCCAATCTTTCTGATTATTAGGCACACAGTTCTTGTACTTTTTACAAAGGAGGAATATGTAAATCAACTTAAGCTTATGCATAAAATATCCCCCTATTTTAGCATTATCAGCAATAGCCTATGATTTACTGTTTTTGAAAGCTGTGATTCCTCTATAGTGCAGCATCCTCCCCCCATTAGGACCAATTCATAAACCTTGGTAGAGACACTAGAGAAGCAGGAGCAGCAAAAATGAAAAATGAACATGCATAAATGCAATTACAAATTAGTATGTTTAAGCTGGAAGAAAGGGATTAAAACAGAAGGAATATCATTCAGAGTAGCTGGGTTTCCCCTCCCCCTCCGAAAAATGGGCTTGGAGAAGGAGAGAAAAGGAAGGGGGGAAAGAATATAATATCAATAAACCAAGTATCTCAACCATCTTTTGCAAGCATGCTGCAATGTTACTATAGGGCAGATAGAGCTTACTTCCAAGTAATCATTCGTACATATTGAATAATTGCAGCTGATTTAAATCTTCCCTCCACCATGACCTCACTAAATGGCTATATTATAAAAATTCTCTCCGCCCCATTTGAAAAAATCCCAAAACAGTAATACTATTGCAAAGAGAATATTGGCAAGCTTTAATCCTCCATATTAGCATGAAACAAAATAACTTCTGCATAGGGCAGGGTATTTTCTTCTTCAATGTCTGCAACAGGATTTGCTTTTTTTACCCAGAACGGAACCCAAAGAACATCTATTTTGGGAGGGGGGGACAAGGCTGGCATCCTTCTACGCTGCTGCCTCAGGAAATGAAAACCACCACACTTCCCTTAATAGGACGAGGAACCTTCCTGCCCTTGGAAGTCCTGCCCCATCTCCAACGGGTTGACGCGAGAGGAAACACTCGGCGAAAGGGGGGGAAAGGAAAAATGGAGAGGGTCAGCGATCGAGGTGCTCGGTTCACGCTATCTCGTTTCCAGAGGAAGTGACAGGCGAGGTTAGCCAATCAACAGGCTGCTTTTGCCGCGGGCGAGACTCGGAAGCCAACAAGGGCACGCGTAGGCAAAAGGAGGCAGGCTAAGACAGACGCAGCAGGTTCAGAGGCACCTCCCTCTGCTGGGCCGTGGGCCCGCACTCGCGACCGTCTCCCCTGACTCAGGCGCTTGCCTCGGTCGCCGCTCTCCGCGGCTTTCTCTTCCGGAAGCTGAGAGGCCCAGCCGCTATGCAAAGGGACGGTGGATCGCGCTTCACGGCTTGGCCTTACCTGACGGGTCCCCTGACAGCGCGATCAGCAGCAATTCCTCTTATGGCTCAGCTTCACATTCAAACCTCGATGAGGCGGCGCGGCGGCGACGTGGTGACGGCACCACGCAACTGCGGCGCCAGCTTTCGCCCACCCTCCCGCCGCTGCCAATCCACAAGCGACTCTTCCAAACCGGCAGCCAATCACGGGCGCGCTAGTTCTGAATCTAGAATCGACTAGAGCCCTTCAGTGCAGGGACATCCCAGAAGGTCTTGAGGCGGGGTGAAAACTATGAGGCTCTTTCGAGGTCCCAAGAGGGGACCGGAAACGCGCATTTCCTCGCTGGATGAGCCTTCGGAGTCCCGTGAACGTTGTGGGGTGGGTGTGAGTTACACGCTGGTCCTTAAATTGGCAACCACGTTTTAGCGTGACATATTTGGGAACGCAGTCCTATTGCCTGGCTTACGGCTCATTAGACCACGGTGAACGATGGGCAAAAGCAGGGCACACTAACAGCGTGGTGTAAAGTCTTGTTTTTTTCCTAGAAAAGTACTACCGGTACTTACCACGTTGTTTTCCTTCGCACTGGAATGGTTAATGGAAAATGAAAAGAAAAAAAAAATCTTGCTTACAAAGTTTGTTAATAAAGGGTGCTTAGATGAAGGTTGTAATCGAGGAAAGCTCATTTAACTTCACACCATTTTGGAAAGAGAGATACTTATCTAAAATTGGCTGCTTTTCCAGTTCCCAAGCCTAAAGAATTGTTGATTAATAATATTAGTCTTATCGGGATTCAGATTTGATGGCTTTCATCCAGCAAAGGATTGCCTCCAAGCAACTGTAAAACAAGCTGTGGCTGTGTTTGGTACAGTCTGCAGCTTCAGGGTCTTTTCCAAAGGATGACCCATAATACATGTTGCTAGTATAGTCCAAGGGATTATGAAGTCACATACTGAAGTAAAAAAAAATGATTTAGGAAAGTTGTAAATGGGTCACCATCAGCCAAAGCTGGGCAAAACCCTACTTAGCTCTAACTCTTACTTGCTGTTTAAGCAGGACTAGCTCCAAAACATGATCCATCTCCTTTGGGAGGTCATGGCCCTACAATTCTTAACCAAATGAAAAAGATCCAGATAATATGCTTCCCCTAGGATTCTGGGTAGCTGATTCTCTATCACTTTCTCAATATCTCCTTAAAAAGGAAAGGTTGGATATGGGGTGAAAATTATCAAACATAGCTAGTGTTTGTCTGTGAAGAATCTCAACCGTCCAGGTCATGCTTGTCCCAAAGTTGCTTTTCCAAAAGGCAACTGGATTTTAGAAAAAAATTCACTTGTAATCCAAGAAGCTTCTTCAGTCCAGGACTTGATGCTGGTGATTCTGATTTCGTATTTTCGGTGAATCTGGCAACTCTGGTTTAATTAATCAATTAAATAAAGCAAAACTAATTGCTGACATAGTCACAGAAGAATTACAAAATCACTATTGCCATGATAATACAAATACTGAGTTGTACTAACCAGTGTGTATCTCGTAGGTCTGATGAAGTAGGATTCCAAACTGCACGTTCTTATCAGCATGATCATCAGCATTTTTTGCAGTTTCATAGATTATAAGAGTGCTTTTCTAGTATACTGTGCTGCATAAAAAAATTGTGTAATGTTTTGAATTTTCAATAATTCTGCATAATCTAAAGTGTGATTTGTTTTTCATACAAGTCCTAAAACTAGATAAAGAGAACTCAATGAATAAAAAACATTATACTTATTCCTTTATTTATTGAGGGAAATGATCCAAAACTACATATTTGTGTGTGGCAAATGTGAACCTTTGCTTTCAGTAATTGGTGTGCCCCTCAATCTCGGCAGCAATATAAGTAGACCTTGCATACTGTTAGGTGCAAGGAACCAGAGTGACATTGTGAGCTGATCAGATTTGCTTCCTTATTTCTTTCCTATTTACAGGAATCTCACCAGACTGATTGCATTGTCTTGGGAACAGCCAGCTAAGGATTTCAAGGATTCTGGGAGAAGTCAGGTTTTGGATTGCTTTCTGCTGTGAAATATTTCTAAGCTAGCCAGACTCTTCATACTCTACCACCCCCCAGCTATAGATGGAGATTCTACTACACTTGTTGACAGTTAATTGGGACCAAAAACTCTATTGCTAAGTGATGCTATTGTCAAAAGCAATGTGACATGACTATGCCAATTTACAATGGCAGTTCCAGCAATCCCAATTGCCATAATTATGAAAATCCAGGGTGATTGCAATGTTACATAGTCACCATTTGCAATTTCCAGCCAATTGTCTTTGCTTGTAGGAAATCATCAGTCAAGGTTGCAAATGGTAATCACATGACTGTGGGATACTGCAATATCATATTTGCAAGCCAGTTGCCAAACACCCAAATTGCCATGGGGAACAATGACAACTGCAACTAGGAGGACCAATCATAAGTCCCTCTCCTTTAGCGCTATTATAACTGCCCAGTAACAGACCAAGAGGTCTTTAAATGAGGACTACCTGTAACTGCACCTAAATCTTTCCAATGACTTTTGATAAGTCTTGCGCATCAGTTTAGAGAAGTTTTAGCCCATCCCTCCTTGCAGAACAGTTTCAAGTTAGGTCACGTTTTGGGTCATAGACATTTTCCTCTTATTGACTGGTCAGAAACATATGTCCATTCAAGGAAGTTCTGAATACTGAATGTAAAATTTTGCAGCCTAAAATTAGCAGTATTCCCTGACAAGGTGACAAAAAATAGTAGAAACAAGTTTTTAATCACAAGGTTAAAAAAAAATATGTTTGATAAACTTTATTTACCACCTGATTAAAGCATGGAATACAACATTCTTCATAATATTTTATATAAAAACTTTACATAACTTTTGTATTACAGTATATAATTATGCTATTCTCTCAAAAATGTATACATCCATCGGGCAAGGAATGCTTTTCATTAACTTAATGATATTAAATGTACTTCATAATAGAAGCTCTCTTAAGAAAAAAAGCTTATAACTAATTTTAAGCATTATATAGATAAAACATACATTTTGCACAAAGTATATTTTATTTAAAGTTGCAAAGAGATATTCTAGACAAAAATATCAAGACATTTAAAGAATTGCACCTCTCACAAATCAAAATATTCTGTTGCTTTCCTTCAAGCCAAGAATCACACCACACCATCTCTGATTGAACATATTTATTAATAGGGACAAATTTCACTGGCAATTTATACTGGCTTATATTAACTTCAGTGGAAGTATAACAGTGGTGAATTATTCTTTAAAAATGCAATGCACCAAGCATTTAAGCAAATTTTTATTCAGTGTTTGTTTTTTAAAAGGGCCCTTATGTGCAAATTTGCAGGTTTCAAATAATTGGATTTTCAGCCTCATTCTCAATTTATAATAGGGGAATGGAAAATTTTGTATAGGACTTTATATTTAAGAATATATATAATACTACCCCTTCATAAACTCTTAAGTGATATAAATATTTTATGCTTACTCCACCTGATAACCCAGCAATCACTTTGGAAGTCACTTTAATGCTGATGCTGTTGTTGTTGCTACTGCTGGGCTTCTTTCTAGTCCATTTACTGTAAATTATTTCCTCCAAGTATTTCAAGTATTAGATTACATACAACTCTGTTTAATTTTTTTGCACAGTATTTTCAATGTTTGTAGCGTGACTTCAGAACCATTTCAGAATATAAGAGTACACGTAAGACCAAATATTGAATGACCAAGTGAGGCAGGGTTCGACATACCTCCTTTTTTACTACTATTTCTGTATTCCTGTTCTTCTTTAGCTGAAATGATAGAGTAATACTTTGTCTGCTGTTAGCCGTGGCCAGAATTAATGGTAATCAACGCTACTATTTTATCACAACTGCTGCTACTGAGGTCATAAAATTAAAGCAAAGTTAATGCTGGCAAAAGAAGGGGAGAGAGGGAAGAGGCAACTACAACCTGACATGCAAGTCTAAGGCTTACTACAATTGCTAAGAGATCAACAACTGCCTGTACACTGGAATTGTGTGTCAGAGAGACAGTTCATCTTGCACTAGATTCATGATATAGAATTCTATTATGTGCCAGCTCAAAAAAAATTTCATGAGTGTTTAAAGAAGTGATATAAGAAACATTGGATTTACCCTGCAGAACCTGTTCAATGATCTGATCTCCAATCAATTACCATATAAACTTTTAAGGAGTATTCCTAACATTATTACGATTGTCCATGGAGGTTGGTATTGCCAAAACAAAGCAGTATTGATGCCCACAGTCATTATAAAAACACATTCAAATAATACATGTACCATTATTACCATTCTTCACAATCCTCAGGAATATCACAAAGAAAGGCTATTATGGAACATCTTTAAACACAAACACGCACACACATACTCACGTGCTACCCTTCATGATAATTACATGGTTATTAAATTCCCAGCTATATGTTTTTAATTAAAGTCTTAGCCATTTGAAAATGCAACTGTTAGCTGCTAAATAAAACTCTCCTACGAAAATGAATAATTTAACACTACTCACTAGGCTCTAAGTTTTATGATCAGACTATTCTGTCTATAAGTAAAGATCACACAAAAGAAACTTCTTCACAGTGCTTTTACATTGCAAAACTTTGGAAGATAACTATTTCAAACCCTATGCATATTGCACTTTTTATTCAGGTTCTGAACATTAATTGCAGTGTTGCCATGCTTCTTTAATGAAGTCAAAGAGGTGCATATCTAAACAGAAAACATTTAACAGAGAGAGAGAGAGAGATGAAGACCATGCTATATTTGCAGAACATATTGACACCAGAATTATAGCTATGGGGGGAAAAGCAGTCCAATTAAAGAAGAATTCTGGTCAGTTCGTGGATTAAAATAATATGATATAAAAATAAAAAACTTTTTTCCGCACACAGTGAAATCCCTCTTTTCACTGCAAACATAAATAATAAGTAAGCTAATATTTTGTCACAATCCTTTCTAGTGAACTGTTTATATGTTTTCCAACATACTTCACAGAAAACAATACTTTTCACTTGCTATGTACAAAAAAAGTCTTTGGTAGAGAAATTAAATATCAGAAATTCTGTATATCTACGAATTGCCCAAAAAAAACAAAAGGTAAAACTTACACTGCTTTATTACTGAATTACTTTGAGACCGCGCACTAGTATTTTTTTTTTAAATATCCTGCCATAGTTCATCCCTAATTGCAACAACAATAACAGGTTAATAGCGAGACTCCATTTACAGAGCAAGAAGTTTCACTTTTTTCAATCACACGTGTCACCTTGGATGGAACCTTTTCATGACTTTTCCGTAGGGCTGCAGTCATCCACCTACCATGTCTCCCTGCTCCCCACTTCACTAGCACCTTACAGTTCATGCTTGCCAATAAGAAAAAGTACGTTTAATACTTTTGCACTTCTAATACATTTGGACAGAAATCATCTCCTTCCTGCCCTCTTATAGAAACCATTACATTATTACAACTATACAGAATTTGCCTGTCATATCTTACAAAACTATTTCTTATTGGGCCAAGAATAGCAAGACTTAGTCTTATCATAATTATAATATTAAAATCCCTCCTTGGACCCAAATTCAGAAGAGCCAATAGTACTGAACTGTGACTTTGCTTCCTATTGGCCCCAGAAAACAGGCTTCTTTCACAAGTACATGTGCACTTATATTAATAAATCAAGTGGTTCCAATAGGAACCAGACTCCCCTATCTTATACAACTTATAATAATAAAGCATTACCCAAGCCATGAAAACAACCGTAACTCACAGTTCGGCAGCAAAAATAGAAATATCTGAAAACACATTAAAGATTGACAGTTTCTACCCAAACGTTAATCTATACATTACTCCAAAAGGGAAATACGAGTATAAATTTTGATTTATTCATTGTGCACTTCAAAATTAATCAAAGAATTTGAGTTTGTCATTTGCTTAATATTTAATAATAATTAGATATTAAGGAGCATTTTTTCAAAGCTTTCAAACTTCTTAAACATTCAGATCATGAGAGATGCAATAATTGAATTAAAAGGCAGTGTGAATTGGTTTTCTCCTACAGTTTCTGGGAAGAGTGTTTCCTTCATAATACATTTTATAGTTTGCTTTATTGATAGTAACCCAGTAACAAGGGAATTTTCATATGATGAAAAAATATCAGCCCTAGAGAAGATACTGTGCTGCTCTGAAAATGATGTACCACTTACATTCTACAAGGTACAGCAGAATTAGCAATAAGGGAGATGGAGGTAAAAGACTGCTTTGGATTTTAACTGGGTGACTACATATATTACTGCCTAGTCACCATCTTGCTACAGGTATACACAATAGACAGCACCAAATCATTCAAATCTGTATTGAAAGAAGAGAGCACCAAGTCGTTTTGTATGCATTCTTGGTGGAGAAACGCTCCAGCCAATTTTCAAATGAATTTTCATCTTCTCAAATATTTATTAATACATTTGCTAGCATCACAAACTTATATAAAGGGTTTCCATTCATTATTTCCAACAGCTTATGAGCAAACAGCTGGAAGGTATTAAGAGGGAACTACTGCAAAATCGATTTGAGCAGACAAGCTGAATGGTAAGAATAACTTGACATTTACTGCAATAAACTGTCAAATGTGAACAGCTATTCCTATAGGACAGCCAGAATAATAGTAGTAGTGAAAGAGCCTTCAGAAATACCAGATTGACCAATATAACCCTGCTGTTCACATTATTGTAGTTTCTTCTTCTTTGGAGACCTATCAATTTTTCTTTGCTTTGTTTATGCTTCATTCAGTGAACTGAGCATTTTTCAAGCTTTGGTAAACAGCAGTCATAGAACTACCATGCAAGGGATTGAGTTCCTGCTGTTCGCAAGTGTTCTTCAGGAATCCAGACTCTGAAAGCTACCCCTATGCGCAGGAAAAACTTCCTCAGCACAGCTCGGAGTTCTGGGATCAGATCAAACTGCATTATTTCACATAAGTAGGGGTAATATGTTGATGCGTGTGCTTTAAACTTGGGAGGAAAGAAGAGGAGAGAAAAAATAAGAAATTATATTAGTCAGTTCCTCCAAACAGCATAGTTCAATTGAAGGTACAATTCCCACGATAAGGGAATGGCACTGCAATATCCATTTTTAAAAAATATGCTCCTGTTAATCCTACTCCACATCTTCAATTGGTCTTGACCAAAATATTTCACTAGCAATTTTGCAAAATTTTATCAGTTGCAACCTACTTCTCATTATACTTCAACTTGCCACTAGAATGCCCTCGCCTTAATTCTTTCTTTACCACTCCGTCACTGTTAAAGATTATACCTCACAATGAACATAAATTGTCCCCAGTCAGTTGGGAGCTGAGTCCTGCCCATCCAATATGCCTTGCTCCTCACACAATCTACAGTAGAAGGGAGCTACAGCAGCCTGTAAAAGTTCCATGTTTTTTTCTGAAACTGATGTAGACTTCTTACCTTTTCATCACTGACTTTTAGTGTTTTTGTTAAAAGTAGCAACAAGAGATTGGTCCAGGCCTCTCGATGGCTTTCAGAATTCACAGTAATAAAATAGGCCAAAGCTTCACTGCACACACTAGAGAAAAGAACATGTGAATATTCAGAACCAGAGAAAAGAGCAAGCAATTCACTGAGCTAGGTTTTGCTAGTTCTGCTCAAATCAAAACAAATTTTCAGGTGCAAATGTGAAAAAGGAAGAACAGAAAGTGACAGAATATCAATGATTTTTAATCTTTAAAAATCTGGATTATGAAATCAGGGGTATTAATATTTTTTCAAACTTGCATTTAATAAGGTTTCCTTTCATTTCTAAAATAATTTAAATAACCTCAATTAATTTATGAACAAGTCTTTTTCCATTTCTGTTTTCACCACAGGCAGTGAAACTTATGAATGCAATTGGGATTGGATTTCCAAAATTGTTATGGTCATAAGTTGAGACACTCATATGACAGGACCTGATTTAATGACAATTTTGCAATGGTTGTTAAATGAATCATTGTGGTCACTAAGTAAATCCATGGTAGTTAAGTGAAGGCTGTTTAAATATGAGCCCATTCTTCAGAATGGCAAAATTGGCAAAAAACATAGCAAATTGTAGTCATATGAACATAGGATGCAGCAAAAGGTCATAAAAATGAATTGCCAAGCAACCAAAATGTGGTCATGTGACTGCAGGGTGCATGTGTGTGGCACAATATTTTACAATGGTGAACATTACTTTATGGGCTATAAAGCACCTGTTCTGGACCTATCATAATTTTGAATGATCATAAGTGCCCAGTTGCAAGTCAAGGATTATCTCTGAACTATTAGTAAACCAGTGAAAAGCAGATGTTATCAAGAAATACATTGTGGATAATGATTATTTACTTAACAAAAGTAGGTCTGTCAATAGAAAAATAAAAATAAAATCAGAAGGTCATATTTGCCATTGGTTTATATATCTGCATTTGAAAGAAAGATTTAAGTTAGATAAAAAGAATCATGGGTTTAATTTTGTTAAACGTGAACTGGAAACCTACTTTGTAGTAATGATGAACATATTATTGCTAAAGTTTATAAAATGTTATTGAATTTAAATCTGGAAAATGAACAAGTAAAACATTGTATGATTCAGTGGGCAAGGAATTTTGGGTACAATATAATGCTCAAAACAATTGGAAAATATGTGCAATAAAGGATTAAAATGTACGTTAAATTATAATTTAAAAGAAATTTTTTACAAGACGATGTACCGTTGGTATTTAACACCAGACAAGTTATCAAAAATATATAAATGTATTTCAAATGAATGTTGGAAATATAAAGGTAAAGAAGGGACTTTTTGCCATTTATGGTGGACGTGTGATAAAGCAAGAAAATATTGAAGTAGGATTCAAATGTTAATACAGAAAATTCTTAAAGTGAATATAGAAAGAAAACCAGAGTCTTTCCTCTTGGGGCTAATGAACAAAGACCTGGAAAAAATAATATGGAACTTTGATGTTATATATGTTGACAGCAGCAAGATTACTCTATGTTCAGAAATTGAGGACTACATTCATTCCCACAACGGAGGAATGGAAAGCTGATGGAGCTAGCAGAGATGGCTAAACTGACTGTACTGATTAAAGAAAAGAATATGAACATTTTTACTGCTACATGGAAACTGCTTCTAGACTTTGTGCATGAGGATGAAAAAAATTAAATTTGATTTTGCATTTTACCAATTAGACAGACTTGATATTATCGAAATGGCTAGCTTATATTATTTTGTAAAAGTAAAAAGTTGAGGTTTGAAGTTGATATTTTACTTTGCTGCACCAAAGGAAATCGGAAGTCAATCTCTTCCCTATCTAACTTCTCTATTCTCTTTTCCCTTCCCCTTCTTTTCCGCTATTTACTTTTGTATTTTCATTGTATCATATACTATAAACTAATAAAACTTTATATATATATATAGAAAAAGTAAAATATGTAATAAAAAGGATTGGACAAAATGCTCAGAACATTCCACCTTAGACATAGTAACAATTTGTCAGAATAGCACTTTTCAGGATTAGGAAATTTTATGGCGGCTCTAATGAATATTTAAAATTTAAAAAAAATCATGGGGCACCTATATCAGATTATTTTCACATAAAAATTTCCCAGTTGCTCTTAATGAAGGATCGAATCTGAACAAGTTTTCCTTTGCATGCTTTGTTTAAGCTCCCAATTTAAAATGATTCAACAGAATAATTCCATATGGTCCCTGAAATCCTGCAGAAATTGTGTTGAAATTGTCATCTCAATATTACTTTGAAATCTAGAAACAAAGCTTACTTCAGGAGCCTCTCTTGTATAGCTTCCCAGGAATCTCTGCGGTTTTCATCAACATACATTCGGAAGAGAATTCTTAGACAACAAGCCAAACTGCTGGTCTCTTGTTTTAAAAGGTTGGGCTTTGATTTACCCTTGAATCCTGAAAAGTAATGACATACTGCTTAATATCCTTAAAACTGTAACTTGAAATAATCTGTACATTTGAATATTAAATAAGATCATCTCTCATGTATGTTACATTATATGATAATATTATACATTAATAATTCCATGCCAGTAGTCGCTTTAGATTGCAGTTTAAACCAGTATAATAGTTAACAATAATTTTCTAAAATCTTCCACCGTATTTTACATTTACCTGCCCTCCATAGGACGGTCCTTTGTTCATAATTTGAGTTGAAAGCTTTTGAAAAAGAATGGGACTCTTGCAGACAATCCAGTAACTTGAAAAGATGTTGGGATGACATGCATTTGTACATTCCCTGGTCTTCAGTGTCAATGTGTATATCTGTATCTAGTGTGTCCCTCTAAAGAGGAAACCCAGGGATAGGAAATATTAGTTAAGGACACAGGTTACAAAGGTTTAAACTTTAAAGAGCATTACATAATTTCCAGAAAAACGTCAATAGAGCAGACCCTAGTTTTGATCTATATATTTGAATAGATTGATATTTTGATCACTGAATTCCACATCTGCACAATGAGAGCAGAGAATGCCCTGTAAATCAAAGAAGCAGATGTCTTACCTGAGCAGCAGCCATGTGTTCAGCATCTTCTTTCTTACTTGTTGCTGGGTAAAATACTATATTGTCAATTGTCTGAATCAATTCCAGCTGGACCACACATTTTATGAGGAGGCTGGCAAAGAGTTTCTGGTCTAAAATAATACATCATATTTAGTTTTTACTCTAAAAAGAACATAATTTTCATACTTCAAAGCCTCAATATTTTTAACAACATTTCTAAATTAATGCACACAATTCATTTGTTTTTAGAGATTCAGGCATATATGATTTTCTTCTACTACTGTGTTGTTAAATGAAAATGATTATTATCTCTAAATAGCTTCCATGCCATTTTCTTAATATATCTTAAAAATAAACCCATGATAGAATTATATCACCTGTACATGTAAAAAACTAAACCTGGTTATTACTATATGGCCTTTTAAACTTAGGGATTAAATTAACCAATCAAATGGCTGAAAGAATCAACCAGCATAATTTGATTTTGAGAAACTGTTTTAAATTTTTTTTCAGCCAAGATGATGTAGAGAATACCTTGTATTATTTATTTCATTACTGAATGAAACAATCTTTATACTACACCAATCAAATAACCTTGGACAGTTAACACTAAAGCATAAAATAATCCAAAGTAAAACTCTGAGCCATCAAACCAACACAATGTAGCTAAAATCATGAGAGACCATGATCTCAGATCAAACATTTACTTTAAAAGAAGAATTTTCAGAGGCTTATCTTATTTCTCTAAACAGCATGTTCCAAGATATGAGGTTAGCCACAGAGAAGCCCTACATATTGCACTGACAGGACCTTAAGCAAGTGCTTCCTCAAAGCACTTACAGAGCAGGCAGAATCATAGCAAATAAAATAATTTGTGGTAAATTGCCATAATTGTTTCTCCGACCCTTTATATTATAAAATCAAATGTGAGACTAAGGAAGCAACAACAGTATCTTAATGTACCAAAAATTGGATGTAGTTGTTGCTACAAACATAGTTGCACTTCTTAATTTGCACTGAAGACTTATTTC